CCTAGCGGTGCTGTGGGGATTGAGTTGACCAGTGCGGATTGTTATTGAGTACATAGTATGCACCAATATTCTTCACATCGGTGAGGACCTATCCCCTCCCATGCGCCAGGCACAAGAATGGTAAAACTAAATAAGCAACTCTCCCTTAGGATCCCTGACCTCATTTAATTGTAATACAGTAGGATAAATGCTTTATTAGTGTCATTAAAATATTAGGAGAAAACAGAGGAGAGGTTGTTTCCCAGCTTTGGAAGCCTGGGAAGACGCTCACAGGAGGAGGTGCCTTTTAAGATGAAGAGCAAGGAGAATTTTTCAAATTATTGGGGTGCAAATGAGAGAGAATTCTGAGCGGCAGGGCCTGTCTGGACCAGGGGCACGGGCGGTGATGGCACATTCAGGGCATGGAGAAGAGCCCAGTGTGTCCAGACTGCAAGGTGGGTGTGCTTGTGGCTAGGAGAGTGGCCAGAAAGCTCAGGAGGAGGCCGAGGGTCAGAGTGGAAGGCCTTGGTAGCGAATGAGATTCCAGGACATGCTCCTTAGAACCTGGGTAAGTGAGTTTTCTTTTGGACCCAAGGAATCAAGGCTTACACGGCCACCTGAAGGGACTGGTACTGTTCTGGTTACTTTGGGTGTGCCTAGCTGGAGGAAGACCGGAAAGCTCCAAAGGACCTAGATGCTGCAGGCTGTCCTTCGCCATCTCTCATTTCCAGCTTCAGGGATCTTCCTCCTGACCTCTCAGCATCGCTGTGCTGTCCCGCCCCACACCCCGTTCACCCCTCTGCGACTTCTGATCCTGGGGACCTTTAACCTTTGTTCTAGGATTCCATGTAAACACTGGAGGATGTGGTAAGGGTACGTGGGAGAAGGGAATGGGGAAACCGGAAAGTCTATACTTGGACTTGGTGGCCAAACCCCTTTAGCTAGAACATCCCACGTTGCTGTGTTGCACACTGACACCTGGGTAACTTATGCTTCAAGAAAGTGTTCCATGGCACAACTACAGTTTGAAAACTCCACTTCAGTTTAAGTCTGGAAGGGAGCCATTGTGCTTGGCTTAGCTAATTATTGTCACTTAAATTGGGTAGACTCTTGCACCCCTGGTCTCCTCATTGAACTGCCCATGGGCATGGACCGTGATGCCCTGTGCCAAGAAAGCAGGCACGGGGTTTTGAGCCCTGCTTGGGTAAGTAAGGTGTGGAAGGCCCTTTTAACTCGAAGGGACACAGCAGATGAAAGGGACTGGACTGTCCAGGCAAAATGCTGTGTTTAAAAGTGTAGCTTGAAAAGACAGCATTTTGTAGTCTTTGAGAGAATGCTATTCCATAGAATTTCGGTGTGCAAAATTTCCATTTTTCAATGAAACCTGGACTTATTGCATACTCTGTCCCCTTCTTGGGGATTTGTGCATGGAAGTGTATTAAAAACTATAACTGTAAGAGGTTAAAACTCCGGAAACCGATTACCCTAGAAGTGGAAGCATAAATAGTTTTTAAAAAGATACTTAGATAATGATTTCATGATGGTAGACAGTTACCAAGTTGTGGGGTGGGAACTCCTATTAAGTTAGTGAGAAGCTTCCTTACCTTTTTGAAAAAAAATGGTGGCATTTCTGTGAGTGCCCTTGTACATTCATTTGTTCACCAAATATTTATTAAGGACCCACAGTACCAGGAAAAACACTTGATTATGGGTTTGCAGTGTAAAAATTCTTACCTCTTTCTTGGGCTACCTTTTCCTGGAATATACAATTTTCAATGCTCATTTTTAGAACGTGTTTCTGAGCATAAAAGAAATAAAAAAGATGGTAGCACAGTTATTGAGCATTCTTAACCCCTGGTGACATGTCTAAAAACACCAAGTTTCAGGCTATCTCCTGGATCCAGAGTTCTTTCCTTTCCATTGTGTATCTCTTCAGTTTTCTAAACATGGAAATGTCCCCATCCCTGGTGGGCTGAGGGGTGCTGTCCAGTGCTTTCTCACCGGGCAAGGTGGGACCTGGTGGGAATCAAACACACTCAAGAATCAGCACCAAGCATGGGGCTCATGAAAGGATAGTAACTGGAAGGTTCTATTCTGTAGTATTTAAAGGTAAACACTCCCTAATATATTTTTTTAAAGTTGGAAAGTTTACAGGAGCTGAAACTCCTCTTTTAGCTCATAACCTAGTCCTCCTCCTCCAAATTATATGGTAGCTTATCCCACATTTCAATTTCTAAGTAAATTGGTCTTCATTATTCTTGAATTCCTGACAGACATCACGCCTAAGAATGAATGTTTCGCATTCTGCCACTTGGAGCATGTTAAACAAATTACTCAGTGTCATTGTCTCTGAATTCATTATAAGGATACACGTGATGACTTCAGCACACCTCTGTGAACTTTTTTTTTTTTTAACTAGGACTCATTTATTTTTTAGTAATAATTACATCTTTACATGGGTATCCTTTGCGGTTTTGACATGACCTGCCTTGGGGAGTTGGCGTGAAGATTAATAACAATGCAGCAGCTTAAACTGCCCTGCACACACTAAGTAAGGGTTCAGATGCCGTCTTTATCCTTACTAGTGACCGAGCTTTGTGAAGGCGTGATCATCGTGGATACCATTTTGCCAATGGGGCCTTAATGCTCAGAAGTTCGATTGCCTGGAATTGCAGGCGGTGTCAGGACGACAGCAGGTGGTCTTCATATTCCTAGTCTCTTGCCCCCAACTATCCTTGTAGCCGACATTTGGGGGGTATTTCTTTCATTTTGAAATTAATTTTTTAAAAATGTTTTTTTCAAATTTTCAGTTACAATTGACATGCAATATTACATTAGTTTCAGGTGTAGAGCAGAGTGGTTCAGACATTTGGGGTTTAGTATTTCCACACAGAAATGTTGGGTGGATGCGAACATCAGGCCATTGCAGTTAGTTAAGTCAGCATGTGTGAAAATGCTCAGTGTAGCACTGGGCACATGGGAGGAACCCCATTAAAATGGTTCTTTTCTTCGTCGCAGTTTTAACGGCTGTCAGGGCTCTCATTTCTCTCCTCCTCACCTCTGTCCCCTGCTGATGCCCCAGCTGAGCCCTTCGTCCCTGGACTTCACGGGCACCTCCGGCCTTCAACAGTTGGTTCTCTTAGTCAGCTCAGGCTGCCATAACAAAGCATCATAGATGGAGTGGCTTAAACAACAGCACTTTACTCTCTCACAGTTCTGGAGGCTAGAAATCTGAGATCAAGGTGTTGGAGGGTTGGTTTTTCCTTTGGCTCGTAGATGGCCGCCTTCTCTGGGGGTCTTCACATGGTGTCTCCCCTTTGCGCATGCCTGCGTCCTCATCTCCTCTTCTGATAAGGACACCGGTCACATTGGATTGGGGCCCAACCTCATTGTAATTGAATTGCCCTTTAAAAGACTCTATCTTCAAATACAGTCACATTCTGAGGGCAGAGGGGCCCCCCATAGGAATTTTAGGGGGCACCGCTCAGCCTGTAACAGTGTGTAGCAAGGAAGAGCAGCTTGGCCTCAGAGCTCCAGCCCAGCATGCTCCCAGCCCGTAACCACAACTTTGGGGCTATCAAAACCCATTATCACTCAGTGCACTGTGTTTGAAAAACGGGGGAGGGTATGATCTCGTTCCTGTCTCAGGGAGTGGGGGAAAGGAGGGTGGGACCTGTCAGGTGCCGGGCTCTGTGCTGGGTTGCTGGTGCTTCGCAGATACTAGATCCCTAAATCTCAACATTGCCAGGACAGGGTAGGCATAATTGCCTACATTTTACAGGGAAGGCAAGAGACATTAAGTTACTTGCCCGGGGCACACAGGTGCTTTGTGATTTTCTCACGTGGCACTCCCGTGGCGCAACAATGTGGAGGACTGAAGTAGGGAGCATAGCAGCCCTGTGGGTGAAAGAGGAGGGAAGCTGAGCTACTGGTTCCCTTGAGAATTAAAAAGTAAAGGCAAAGCTGATCAAAGGAACGAAGACCAGTGGGAGAAACTTTTTTTTTTTTCTTCAGTCAGGTTTAAGACTTTTGAAAAAAATCAAGAGTTCTGAGGGGAATAAGGGAAGGCTCTGTGTTAACCACTTACTTCCACACTCATCTATCAGCCTATAAATAAACTGTATTTCTCCAACGGCTTTAATCCATTTCTGGGATTTTTTTATTATTCCTCCCTAGCTAGAGGCAGCATCATATGGTGACTGAAAAGCAGGACTCTGAAATGAGACCATCAGGGTTCAAATCCTAGCTGTGTGGTCTCAGGCAAGTCTGTGAGACCTCAGTTATCTCTGCTGGAAGGAAGGGAGGGAGGGAAGGAGGGAGGGAGGAAGGAGGGAGGGAGGGAGGGAAGGAAGGAGGAAGGAATAGCAATAATAAGTTCTGATGAGATTGTTATTGTGGACATTAAGTAAGTCAATCTATGTAAAAGTGCTCCAGTCAGCACCTGGAACCTAGTGAGCCTCAGAAAGGATTACCTGTTGCCTGTATAGAAAACAAGGTCCATAAAGGCAAGGACTTTCATAAACTTCCTGAAGTATGCCTCTAATGCTCAAAAGTGCCTAATGGGCAGGTAAAAGACACTCATTCATACTTCATAGGTGAATGAATGAATGCAAATATGGTGGATCCTGAGCAATCAGTGATGAAAAGGAAGTACCTGGTTTCAGAGTTTTTGTTCTTTGGTTGTTTGAAGCCGTAAGTCCACCGGTGGAGAGGTAAAGAGAAGGGGGTGATGTGGAAGTGGGGTAGGACAATTTTCTCAGCCTCCCGAGTGGCAGGAGAGCTCTAGGTTGTATGGCTGTGTTTCCCTCCTACGTACCTGTAGCACCTTTAGGTCTGGGGGTGGAATTGCTCTCTGGGGCCCCTGGGCTCCGACAGGGTGGAAATCACACGCTGACAAGGAAATATTTGCAAGGCCCTCTGGTACCTACAGAGCTTCCGTTCTGTCACTGCCCCCTGGGATTGGTTGAATCATTTGCGTTGCCACCAAAATTTCTACAATGAGTGCCAACTTTTCTTTTCAGGCTCAGGCTGCATGAAGAGAAGGTCATTAAAGATAGGCGACATCATCTCAAAACCTACCCAAACTGTTTTGTCGCCAAAGAACTGATTGACTGGCTGATCGAGCACAAAGAGGCTTCTGACAGAGAGACTGCAATTAAACTTATGCAGAAATTAGCAGACCGGGGCATCATTCATCATGGTGAGTGAGGTCACAGCCAAGGTCACTTGAGGTGAAAGGAAGGACTGCATCTGTTCCAGACATGAGCCTACCCATTTAAGAAATAAAACATTTTACTTTCATTTTCTCCTGTGTACCTTTCCCCAGCTCCATTTCCTCCCTCCCTCTAGGAGGCATTTGGGTTCGTTTCCATGGGCTTCTTTATACTTTTCCTTTCTATATATACATCTCTTAGCAACATGTCATACTGTTTTAGATCATTAGAGCAGTGCAAGTTTATTCTTTTGCAACTTGATCAACATGCTTTTGGAGAGACGCATCCACATTGATAGCATGTCTCCTGCTTTCTCATTTTCACTGCCACGCATGCCGTGTGCAATTGTGCCGTCCTGCATTGCTCCATGAACATTTAGGTGGTTTCCAGCTTTCTGCTGCTACTCTCAAGGGTGCACTGGATCATCATGAACACATCTCCTTGAAATCTCTAACCCTGGCCAAGATCTTTCCCATGTTCTTTTTCTCTTGGGCCAGAATGCCCAATTGCTGCTCATTGTTCAGGTCTCCACTTACCTGCAAACTTTACAGAGAAACATCCAGTCCCCAAAGCTACTGTACTGCATGCTCCTCCTTTGACCTTCCAGTATCTTCTCACATTTTTCATAGCCTCATCACACCATATTTTAATTACCTTGTTGACATGTCTCTTTATTGCGCTAGATTTTACATTCTTTGTGGTTGATGCCTACCCCAATAGCATGCTCAAGCAGAGTTTATGGAATGAATGAGGAATGGAATTTGTGACCCTTTTAATAGATAATGATGATGATGATGACATGATAGGACAGCTAATAATTCTGAGCACTTACTCTATTCCAGGTACTGTGCTAAATATTCTACATCTATTAAATCATAGAGTAGCGTGCTTGAGAAACTAGGTAGTAATCTCAATTAGCGTTTTAGTTCATTTGAGCAATTACATGAGTTTGTTTTATTTTTCTTATTTGCCCCTCTCTGTATATTGTGTTTCAGTGTGTGATGAGCACAAGGAATTCAAGGATGTCAAACTCTTCTACCGCTTTAGGAAGGATGACGGCACCTTCCCATTGGACAACGAAGTGAAGGCCTTCATGAGAGGACAGAGGCTATATGAGAAGTATGTTACCCATGAAATCCCCCATTGTAACCTCCACTTGTAGAGAAAAGCAGGGCTATTTTAGTCTTTTTATCATTTTGACTTCAGCCTGGCTCTTCCATGTGGGATGGTTACATAACTGTTCCTTTAATAATGAGAAAATTTTATCACTCGTTTGCTTTTCTCTTTGCCAGAAATCAAGTCAGTTTCATAAGATTCTTAATAAAGAATGTATTTAAATAGTATTTTCTATATGTAAGTCGATTTAACAAAACCCCAGAAGTAAAAACAAAAGGCTAGAGCTTGATGTTTGCCATCAAATGATGAAATACTGTTGTATAAGTTGGAGGTTCAGTCTTGTAAATGTCTAGAGAAGCAGTGTCAAGCGAGGTGGAAGTTCAAGTTGAGGTCAAGAAATGAGCAGGGAGAGAACTTCAGATAACAGGGTGATCTAAGAGGAAAAATCTCTCAGCTCTTTGAGAAATGAATATCTGTCCCCCAGGAGTATTCGTTCGATGGATCTTAAATCTCCCCAGTGTCCTCTGAGCTGACCTGCTCTCTGTGGTTCCTATTCCATCCTACCTTCCTTGTTTGTTTGTTTGTTTATTTGTTTCTCTGGGCAACCGTAAAAGAAAGAAGTGCAGGAGCAATGGCACCCACTCCTTAACTCTGGTTGCCTTTCAAGGTTTCAGGGAGCTGAAATAGTGTATTATCACAGAAAAGAGCCTACTCTCTCGTGGGTGAATTGGTATGTTGGGGAGAGGACCCAGGTGGTCAGATCAAGTAGCATGACGGGTAAGAGCTAGACAGGGTTGAGTTCTAGCCCTGTCGTCTTAGCCCTGTAAACCTCAAGGTCCTCTTTTTCTTTTTTTAAAGATTTTATTTATTTATTTTTAGAGAGGAGAAGGGAGGGAGAAAGAAAGGGAGAAAAATGTCAATGTGTGGTTGCCTCTCGCGCGCCCCATTCTGTGGGGACCTGGCCCACGATCCAGACACGTGTCCTACGTTGGGAAAAGAACCTGCGACCCCTTAGTTCGCAGGTGGGCACTCAATCTACTGTCCCACACCAGCTAGGGCTCAATGTCCTCTTTTTTAACATGAGAGTAGTGAAAGTACCTTCCTCCAAGGTGTGTAGTTCTTTGTGGGAATTACAGAGTAAATTGTATCAAGTACTTAAGTATTTAGCTCAGTAACTCTTGTTTGTTGCTAGACCCCACCAATGAAAACCATTTGGTCATTAACATGGTAGTATGACCGCCCTAGATTCTGTCCCTCTTGTATCCTGCCTCTATCCAGGTTTGTTCATCTCTGTTTTTCAAGCTGGGATTTTCCAACCACTTAATGCTTAGTATGTACTAGTGCGCCTATCACTTGCTTTCTGTATTGAAGTATAGAGAAACCCTCATCTCTCTGACTCACATGAATTTGAATGGAAGGGACCCATAGATACTTCTATTGTCTACCTGACATGTATACATGTTTTGTTGCCGTTGTTTTTACTTTACTTTCTTAGTTCCTTTTGGAAAGTTCTAGGAGGTGTTAGGTATTTGGATTACCATGGTGGTCCCTTCCAGGGATATCCAACCTTTTGGTGTCTCTGGGCCACACTGAAAAAAGAAGAGTTTTCTTGGGCCACACATTAAATACATTGTAATCCATGATCACAAAAAATTCTCATTATGTTTTAAGTAAATTTACGATTTTGTGATGGGCCACATTCATAGCCATTCTGGGTTGCATGCCACCCACTGGCCGTGGGTTGGACACCCCTGCATAAGATTGTGTTGTCAAAAACATACATGTCACTTCCAAGAAAGGAAGCCAGGGAGTTCAGTAATAACACTCTTCTCTAGCTACAGTTTATCTCCTGAGACCTGGATAACCATACAGTGGAAACTGAGGTTAGCAATAACTGAAAATATCAGATACAGAACTATTCTTGGTGATCGGATGGGTAATGGGTATGATGGCAAGACCAAAATAAGAAAAGATAAAGAGAGTTGTCATACCTTCTAGAAAACAGACTTTCTCCGGCTCCACTTTCTGTTGTTTCTCCCCTTCCATCCTATGTGTCATTCACACTGAACTGTGTACCTCTGGACCACCCAAGGCTCCTCTCCGCCTTCAGGCCATTTATTAATTCATTAATTATACAACAAAAATTCACCGAGCCCTTACTACATGCATTATAGGCTCTGGAAGTTTGCCCTGAACTGAAGACAGACAAAGCCTCTGCCCCCATGGGGCTCACACTCTCAGAAAAGAGGCAGATGTTAAATGGGTATCACATGAAGAGGAATATAGTGGGATATGTGGTTTTTGTGCTGGAAGGAAAAAAAAGACTGGCTGAAGGTGCTGAGGAATTGTAGGTAGGAGGGTTGGGGAAGACATCCCGGAAAAGGTGACATTTGAATAAAGTGAGCCTTGCTGATATCTGGTAAGAGGGCATCCCAGACAGGGGACACACAAAGGCAAAGGCTTGGAGGCAGGAGTATGCTTGTCTATTTTTTGTCAAGGAGGAGGCCAGAGTGTCCGGAGAGGGTAGGAAGTATGGGAGAAGAGTGGGAGATGAGTTAGGGCCAGATCATAGAGGACCCTTAAGGCCGTGATATGAATTGAGGATTTTATTTTAAGTTTAATGGGAAGCCACTGAAGCCAGAGCAGGGTGTAGAGAAGCGGCATTCTTCATATGACCCTCCCCTCTTTCCCTAGTTCACTCCACCTCTCGCTGGCCTTGTGTTCAGTATGACCTGTCCTCCAGGCACAGCCTCACAAACTTGCCTGCTCTGTGACCTGGAGTAGAACCTCTCTGGCCTGTGGTCTTGAAAGGAGATAAGACTGGGACCCACATGGAAAGGCCATTGGGAGGGTTAAATAAAACATGGTCTGTGCAATCACAGCGCTTGACTCAGCGCAAGAGACCAAGAAATGTTAGCTGCCACTATTTGAGTAGTCAACAACAACATAAATAAACGGTACCTGTTGTTTTTATATTATTTTAACCTTTAGCCTAGCGTGGCTGTGAGGAGTTCAGGAGCCCAGCTCTCTGGATGTGAATCCTGGCTCTGGCCTTTTGGGAATGTGGCTTCGCCTCCATTTGCCCCTCTAGTAAATGGAGAGATGGATCGTATCAACCTCATAGGCTAGTTGTGGGCAGTAAATGAGCTGCTTTTATAAGCACATAGGACAGGGCTGACCTCAGCGTGACTGCATCCTTTTGCTTACCCCCTGCTGCCAGCTCGCAGGGAGTGTGAGAGAGAGGGGGGCATGTGCTCCTGGGTCAGGGCCCAGACTTTGTCATTTTGAGGAATTCGTCTGGGCGCATCCAGGGCACAGTGCACTTCCCATCAACAAGGTTTCATTAAACCTTCACTCGGGACTGAAGATGCGGAGACCAAGGCGTGACAATTCTCCAGGAGCGCTCACCGGTTCCCACTGAATTTTGCATGAGCACAAACGCACCAGACACACAGCACTTACACATAATGCACATTCTCCCAAACAGTACAGTTTTTTGTTTTCAAGTAAAACCTTTGTAAGCAGGATAAATACGTGTAACTTAAAAGAAAAACATTGAATCTGTGTACACTCCCTTCTCATGGTGGTAGGTATTTTAGGTGCATGTACCAAACTACGAAGCTTGATTATCTTTCAACAGTTAGCAAAATAGACCTCTTTAAGAATGGAGTAAGGATTTTTAAGTGTTCTGTAGAGTGATAAACAGAATTAGCTATAAAAGAATACAAGTTAGAGGTATAATTTGGACATTTCTTACTAAAACTAATCATTGAAATGCACATTTTAAACTAATCTTGATCTCATTCAGACACAGATCTAGGCGATTTCTCAGTTCTCATTTAGCTGCAGTCTTACATGGAGTTAAATCCCTTCCAGGTCTGGTTCATAAAAGCATTAGTTTAGCTTTTTATTGAAAGGGATTTTGGTTTTCTCAACAGCAGGAGTTTCTCTCCCCATCCCCTAGAAGTCTATTTTTTCGGTCTAAGAGTGTAGACCTGATTGAAGAATTAGTTTAAATGCCTGTACGACATTCAATCTCTGTCCAGTTCCTCCTGCTTTCTTTATATCCTCTTGTCCATAGACAGAAGAGAAATATAAGGGGCAAATGATATCCAAAGGGGAAAGGCCCTTTTGCGGGTTTTATCTTATCAGAGGTTTCTCTACCACGTGCCCCTGGGACCTTTTTCCTGTTCCCTCCCAGTGCCTGGCACAATAAATATTTGCTGAATGAACAAAGGGCTCTGCAGGCTGGGATGGCTAAGAGCTGCTGAGCTCCTACCGTGACAGCGCTGCGGAGAGCTTGCTTTTCATGACAAGCAGCGACAGCCAGAGGTGTACCTTTGTCTTTCCTCTTCAGAGTTTACAAAGCATCTTATACAGTAACATGTTTGGTCCTTTGCGAGCTATGCCCAGCAGGCACAATCAATCTCATGGCAGAGATGCGGGGCATGAGCTGGAGAGAGGTTTAATGAATGACGTCACCCTAAATCCTGAAGCTGGAGTTAAAAAAAAGGTCTCCAAGCTTTTGACTCCATCTTGCTCCATCTCTGGTATAAAATGTATTTTTTCAGACTGAGATCCCAAGTTCTGCAAATTGATTCGAATTTTATGTGCAAAATAGGTTTTAATTATTTTGCAAACTTTAATAAAAATATTTTCTGATGTGTTATATACAACGTTTTCACAGCTTACCTGTGCTGCCCACTTAATTAGTAGCTTCATAGAATCTTGCAATAAACAGCTCCTGCCTTCTCCGTTTATTTAATGAGTGTCCAAAGATTGCAATGTAAGTGAGTTAAAAGTTGTTACCTTTTGCAGCCACTTATCTGGATGACAGGGGTTGACCATGATACAGCATAATGAATTCCAAGAATTGTTCAATGTCTTGAGAGTTTATCCTACTTGCAAGAGAACAAATATGTCGGCCATCATTTATTTCATGTGTGCTAGCAGAAGACATAAGACCCCCGGATTAGGGACAAAGGACAGTTTATTACCTTTAG